AAAACAACTATCACTCTCCAGCTTGGATTTGTTTGAGAAAAAACCCTTTGCCTCTCAAATTGAGTCGGTGTCCTAATACATTAAATTCTTAACAGCATGCATTCTCGTTTTCCGTGGGTTTCTCTTGACAGTTAACCGCAAGAGAACTACTTGCGATTTCCAAGACGTGAGCGACTGAGTGGGCTGACGTTCCTTCTTGAAACTCATTTTCCTGACTGTCTCTCTCTTTCTCCTCAACAGAGGGTTTCTCCTTCCCCTAAAGACGAGCCATGTTTCGTTTGAAACATAAATAGATGTATTAAAGCCTATCGGCTAAATTAAAATCCAAGTCGAGAATTTAATAGATAGCGCTCTCCTCACCACTGTTTTCCTTGTTTACATTCACTTCAGCAGGGATATAATTTAGCATGCTTGACTATTGCTAGTCATAGTTTCGTCCTATCAAAGATGCCAGATTTCAATTTGAAAATGTCGATTTTTGAAACGGAATTGTTCGCAACTAAATACGCTTTTAGCTGAAATTAATAGCCAGTTAGGGCAATGCAAGTAAGGAACTTTTGATACAGGTAAAATTTTTCTAGACCGTACTTTCCCTTTTAATGTCGTCATCTCCTTCGGTTGATTTGGTCGACTGGTTAGGGTGGACTTTAATGATCTTTTGTAACCAGTTAACCTTATCGTCTGAAGAAAATAAGGAATATTTAACCACAATTAATAACCGCGACCTACCCAGTAAAATATTCATAATGATAATTAATGTTTTGATCTGAAGTTGTTGTATCTGTTCATTAATGCCTGGTTGTAAACCTACATCGTATTTCCACTTGCTTCCGACAATACTTGAAAAGTAAAGGAAATGTTTGTAAATCGAAAAATTATGAGGCAGCAGAAGGTAAATCGGCTATTTCAAAAGAAAAACAGTCAGTCAGCTATCCGACAGTTCTCTCAAGGTGTGCAACAGCGCACGTGATACAAATATCACGTATCCATGGATGACATTTGAAGACTGAAAGAACTGAAGCATACATCTGCCTTGTTTTGACCCAATTTGAAAAACTTTGAACCCTTGTCCCCTTTTTTTTCTTGGACGAAGAAGTTTAAAACTACTAGAGTCATTACATAAGCTGTCATGAAAAACACTGTTTTTACTTAATAGGTTCCCACACTCGTGTGTAGCGTTCCGGAGATTGATCATGGCCTTGTAAACAGCCATTACCTGTCAATTATTCCGATGAGATGCTCTTTGTAGGAGTAACTGATTATAATTTCATAGCAGCCTGAGTGCTTTTACCAGTACTATTAACAGTAATTCGTTACTTTAAATTCTTTTTTAATCTCGACGTCCTTCCATTCTATACTGACTGTGCATTACTTGCACGTGCATTGTGTTAAGAATCTTCTTCGTCTCTTATCGTTTTCAGGAATGGTGTGTTAATACAATGCTCATACCCCGTCGTGCTTTGTGGTCATTTAGACTATGAGTGGTCCCTCCTTTACGGAAAAATTGCTGTTAGCGCGCTGTGGCGAACTCTTGGAGTGACGCCGATGCGACGCTAACATCATTTTGTTCAGTAATTTGTTT